AGTAAGGCACTTGTTCCTAGTAGCTTCTTGTTCCTACCAGTAAGGCACTTGTTCCTAGTAGCTTCTTGTTCCTACCAGTAAGGCACTTGTTCCTAGTAGCTTCTTGTTCCTACTAGTAGGGCACTTGTTCCTAGTAGCGTCTTGTTCCTACTAGTAAGGCACTTGTTACTAGTAGCTTCTTGTTCCTACTAGTAAGGAACTTGTTCGTAGTAGCTTCTTGTTTCTACTAGTAAGGCACTTGTTCCTAGTAGCTTCTTGTTCCTACTAGTAAGGCACTTGTTATTTCCATTTGTACCCTCTTTATTTACATGTATGTGTCAGGATTGTGCATAGTGTGCAGTGTGATGTAGGAGATGGTGTTGGAGTTGACGTTTCACACTGTGTTAATCAGATTGGGTTTGCTCATGTTTGCTCACAACAGAGCCGCCGAAGCCATTTCCGGATTGATTCGGGACTGCTAAGGTGGTGACTTTTTCCCAAGTTGTAAAGTCAAATGACACAAGTCTTGCAGGTCAGTAGAAGATTTGACTAGGATCAGGGACTCGCTCAGAGCCATGAAGCGTGCCTTTAGCTTGATCAGTGACAACATTGACGGCACTTCTGACATTTGGCAGCAGGAAGGAGTAGGAAGAACTAAAGTGAGAGAGTTCACCGCTCAAGTTGGCCCAAGTGAAACCATCCAAGGCGGATACAGGTTCAGCATCGACGAGGCCAACATCTTCCGAGACTGATATAGAAAGCTCCACCGTGCAGTCCAAAGCCGGCAGTTTTTGGGAAGCTTGGCTCCATATGGCTCCATCATTGGGTCAAGTCTGCGGGGGCCGACCAGGGCGTTTGACCGGTAGCCTTGGCTTTGTCCGCTATCTCAGTTGTATGCTGCTTAGGAAGATGAGCAGAAGATTGACTTCACGATTTTCCCGAAGAATTGGGTTCGTTTGCAGCTCGTCTTGGTAAAGAGCTGTGGAGAGTGGACTGAGAAAAACTTCAATGATCTTCTCATTCTTTAGGTTCATGATTGGTGGAGGGATGAGTCACCACGATTCACGAGAGACAGCCGAGCCAAAAATGATGTTTGCCTTCAGTATCAGGTACTTCGAGAAGATTCAAGCAGATGGTTGTGAGCTCGCTGAGGGAGCAGCGCAGCTTGACAGCGTACGAAAACAAACTGATGTAGTCGTAGCAAATCTGTTTCGTTTGGGCTGAAGATCTTGGACAATTTTTGCCACTGAGACGTGTTTTGGGTTTGAGTCCTTTGTTTGTTCCAGCTCGAGCCCTCGCGCCCCTCAGAGAAGAGAGAGAGAGAGAGAGATGTGGGGATGGGGCTTCTGTCACTGTCGTTCTTCCCTGAGGATCAAGGCTTGGGGTGCTTGCGAGGGAACCGGCATCCTTGCATATTTGATGTTTCCTGGCATCAACTCGAAGGAATGGATGGTGTGCGGTTTTGCGGTAGTAGTGCAGTACACTGTAGAAACTTTTGCACCACCAAAAATTGCCACTGTGAGTAAACGGAGTGTCGAAGTGTTCCAAAGGTTAGTTCAGCT